CGTATGCGAAAACCCAAACTCTATAACACCCTTTTGCCTGCTCTATCTCTTGTTTTTATGGCACCGGAGAGTTTGCCAGCTTTTTCCTATAGCTAGGCCAACACGATTAGCAAAAGCCTCAGGTGGGGACCCTGGATCCAGCTAGCATGACTGCACCTACCCATCCATCCTAACACCCTATAGCTAAACACCCTAAACACCCTAACACCCTAAAAACACGAGAAGAACAAGTGTAGGTAGGAGTACACATCAACCAAGCCGGGATCCGATCTGCCTGGATCGAACAGGCGACCTAAGGATATCAGCATCGCATCTTTCGATTACAGTCCTTCGCTCTTCCAGCTGAGCTAAGATCGGGAGCATGGTGCTCAACGCGTATCGAGACCAGGTTTCGATCCTGGGACCTCGGGGTTATGAGCCCCGCACGCTTCCGCTGCGCCATCTCGATTCTCATGTGCACACCTACCTTCAACTCTCCCCAGAACTCGTGGATCGTGGATGCCCGACAAGCAGCTCCAACCAAACCGAGTAGAGCCTTTGCCCTAAGGATGAACCTATGGCTAGGGTTGGCCGGAAGTTTAGATTTAGAAATTAATTTAGATGCCATCTAATTAGATTTCTATATAGATTTTAGATGAGCCTATCTAAACCGTTTAGATGGCATCTAAACGTATCTAGTCCATCTAATGCCTATCTAAAGGCCGGTGACCGGATCCAGACCGTTTAAACGTGAGTCATGGCACGCGAAACAGGTATGTCGAAGGTAACTTTAGTGTCATATCCTTGCTCCGCTCTATTACATACACAAATAGATGTAGAAATACACAATGGCAGAACCAGGACCCCAAAAGCCGATCACATACAAATACAACCACCAGACTTTCGACGCGCCACAGTACGCAGCAAAGCTCTGCGAAGCCAAGCGCAGCATCAAAGCCACAGCGTACTGGTCCATCTTCGACGTGTTGCTCGTAAAAGGCGTTGTGAACCTCGTCTGCACCGTTTGCAACAAGTCCTATAGCGCGAAGAACCCGTCAGCTGTCTGCCCGGATCACTATGCGAAGCACCAGAAGGACGTCGCCAGCGCGGTCGGAAGCGAGCAGTCCGGGGCGCCCACAACCAACAGCACGAAGCGCTCGCGCGCGGAGGAGGGGCCAGTTCGGACCTTCTTCCTCGCTGCAGTGCAAATCGCCACCCCCTGGCGCTATCCGACACGCGTCTGTAGAGTGCCCATAGGGGTTCGCCGTGTTCCCAGTGTCGAGCGGCCCAAAAAATTATTGGAAAATCCAGGAAAAGATAAAGCCGCATCGTGTGCAAAATTTCAGGTCAAAATTCCACCGTTTAGGCAGTTTTCCGTTTGCCCATCTAAAGATTTACCTAATTAGATTAGGTATCTAATTAGATTTCTAATTAGATGCTTTTTCCATCTAAAGATTTTGCCAACCCTACCTATGGCATAATGTAACAATAATAATGGCCATGAATATCGCCCAACATGCAATAAGGGATGAAAGTGTCGAGGACAGCTAATTATCTTCAGAATTGTGTTATGTTATATATGTGTATGCAGCCCCTATCTAGAGATGTGTAGAGTTTTTGAATCCCTATATGTATTGCCTGTCTGTTCTGAAACCGACTTTGAGCATGTGATTTTGTCGTTGTCTACCATCCCTTCTTTCCTGGAGCCCACTTCAGATATGCTCTGGCACATGTCTTGTACTGTACAAGTTGTACTCTGTTTTGGCTTGGATTCAATGACAGCAAGGTTCATCCCATGGATTTGAAGTGTCATCATAATGTGCTGAGTGGGAATTGAGCCTGCGACATCACAACCACCAATCCTCTATCACAATGATAAACTTTTACAACTCCCCCCCTTGGACTTCAATGTTGTCCAGAATGTAACATATACATAAAAGTGAGCACAAGGATGGGGACCACCTCTGGGAGCCAAGGAGGCCCATGGATGGTCAGAAGCCATTACGGTGGTGCTCAGCATGGATCTTGAGATCCTCTAGAGGATCTCCCGCTCCCCTGGGCTCAATGCGCCTGTGTGTGATGTACCCAGTCTGTGATGTCCAAGACCTCCTCGAGAAAACAATTGCAAGCCGCTGCAATAGGTCGGCGACATACACATACACATGGTATGTGCATGTCCAAATGTTTGTGCATGTACATGCACCTAGACACATGTGTTTATGTGTTTATGTGTGTGTGTGCATGTGTGTGCGTGTGTGTGTGTGTGTGTCTGCTGGATACATGTATTCTAATCCAACGAGTGTATGGTGCTCCCTACAAATCTCTTAATCATGGAGCTATGGATTTGGTGCTAGCACCTTTGAATGCAAGCTAAGGTCGGTTATGATGGATGGAGAGCTGTACTTGCACTACTGCACTCACAGAGTGCACTAATAAAAAAACCTGGCATATGTAATCCTGTTTGTGGCCAGCCGTGTACACGCATGACGATGGATGACATATGTACACATATACATGCATACACATATGCTGTATTGCACTTTATTTGCAGTCCCTCACTTGTTTGCTTGTCTCCCTGCTGTGTGCGTGTGCCTTTGCATCTATTTGCACAGGACAGAGCACTTTAAAGTTCACTACACCATAGCATTCATTCCTTCCTGCCTGGGTGTTATTGGCATGCAACAATGCACCTAATACCCAGGACATACACTTGGACCTGCAACCAGCACACACGCGCTTCGGGCATGTGGGACAACAAATTCGAAGTAGGTATGGAGGATCGCGCACATGCATGGGGGCGTGCATGCACTAATGAAGGCAGTGAGATGCCTGTGGTTCACCGTAGAATGCTTCAAAACGTGCGAGTCACTGCTGCACCAGCCAAGAATCAAACTCGGGTCTGGTCCGTGGCAAGGACCTATGCTACCACTATACCACTGGTGCTCTGTAAGACACGGGAACTGCTCGAGTCAACACCACTGCACACAACTATATCAAGAGTTACACACATGCAGACATACAATGTGCACAGAATCACGTGTTCTATATACCTAGGTATATGGGTATGCCTCTCTGGTGCCCGTAATAGGTTTGTCTGAGGGAGCACCAGTGGTGTCGTGGTTGCATATATGGGTCCTTTGCCGCAGACTAGACTCGAGTTTATCCTCAACTGGTGCACAAAAACATGCATGTTTTGTAGCATTGTACGGTGGGCCGCTGGCTTCTCAGCATTGCCTTGATTATTGGATGTGCTCTATCCACCTAGTTTGTTGTTCCATATGCCTGAAGCACATGTGTGTTGGTAGCAGGTCCAGGTGCATGTCCGAGGTAATGTGTGCTTTGCCACATGCCAATAACACCCAGGCAGGAAGGGATGAATGCTCTGGCATATTGAACTGTAAAGTGCTCTGTCCTGCGCCACAATAGACGCAAAGACATGAGTA